CGTGGAGCAGCGTGCCAACATGGCGCGCAACACGCAGCGCAAGCAGCTCGAGAGGGCGATTGCCAGCCAGCGGGAGTACGAGGAGAAGAACAAGGAGAAGCTGCAGGCGGCGCTCGAGCAGCGGCAGACAGAGATGCGCAAGCGCGAGGAGGTGCGGGCGGCGGCGCTGGCGATCGAGCGGGAGAAGCAGGAGAAGCTCCAGGCGGAGCGCGAGGCCATTGCGGCGCGGGACCGCGAGATTGCAGAGAGGCGGGCCGAGGAGGAGAAGGCGCGGGCCGAGGCCGAGATGACGACGGACAGCGAGACGGGCGAGAGGGTCAAGCGCAAGCGCAAGGCGGCGGCACCCCGGGGCGCGGCGGGCGAGGGCAAGGCCAAGAGGGGCGCGCGCAAGAAGAAGGGCGGCGACGACTCGGAGGGCGAGGACGAGGACGAGTCGGAGGAGGAGGAGCGGCCGAAGCCGAAGAAGAGACGTCTCGCCAAGAAGGAGACCGAGAAGCCCGGCAAGTTCAAGTCGGCTGAGATTATCGTCGACAGCGACGAGGACGAGGAGGCGCAACGCGACGAGGACGACGAGGAGGACCCCCTCGAGCGGGCTGAGAGGGCGCTCGCACGGAGCGGTCGCGCTGCTTCCCATGACGGGCGCGACGAGGGCGATGACGAGGGCGATGACCGCATGGACGTCGACGCCGGCAGAGGGGGCGACAATGATGACGAGGAGGACGACGATGCCGAGGTCACGCGGCGACAGCAGAGCAAGCGTGCCCGACGCGGTCGCGTCGTCGAGAGCGACGAGGAGGACGAGGAGGAAGGCGACGAAGGTGTCGCGGCAGGCCAACGATCAGGGGACGACGATGTGGCGGCCGCCAAGGCTGACACCAGCATGGCCGATGCCGAGGACGACGACGAGGCGTGAAGACTGAGAAGAGAGGGACTCTCTGGTGTCAAGGTTGAAGCTGTCGCCGGCCAGGGCGTCCTCGATCCCGTGTACGCATAGTAGAAGCAGGAGAAAAAAGGGCGGCAAGGCGTTCCCAGAATGGTTATTCAGACAGACATAGGATGAATTGGTTGCTATCATGGTGTCTGGCGTTGTGCCTGTTAGGATGAATGTGCTTGGTGTGACATGCCGTTCTTGGACTCAGACCGTTCTGTCTCTTTCTCTGTCTCTCTGCCTCTCTATCTCTCTGTCTCTCTGCCTCTCGCTCGCCTGCTGTCTCTCTACCTACACGGAGCCTCACCGTCAGCAAGTCACGATGTGAACCATGATGCACCATACTCCCCCCAAGCTAGCGGAGCTACTCCGCAGCGGCGAGCCGCAAGTGGCAAGGAGACCAGGTTTGGGCGAGAGTTTGGGCGAACGGACCCCCCTCCCTCCTCTCCAAGCCGTCCCGCGCTGTTCAATTGCAGCGAGCATTGGCGGCGTCTGCGAGAGGCCATTGGCCAGTCGTCGTGCCATGGGTTCTGCGATGCCCAGATACCCCATGGAGAGCCGGGGCGAGAGGGCGAGTTTCCCGATCGGCAGCGGGGGACGACCCCTTCTGCTTTGCCATTTGCACCGAGGATTCTCCCGCCCTGGGCTGCCCGTGTCTTTTGTTCGGTGCTGGTGTTTTTGGAGAACGTCACGAGGGGGAGGAGGGGCAGACTTTCTTGCCTGAGGGGGAATTGACGATGTTTGTATCGGGTATAAAGGGGCCCTCGGCGGAGGGTGTGTCGTAGCGTTGGGGTCATGGCTGTTTGCATCATTGACTTTGCATCGCCTTACTCGTCTTCTTGTCGAGTTGTAGAGCTGTCTCCTTGGGTTTACCTTGGAGCTGTGGATTAAAGATCTCGGGTCAGGACCTTGACTGAAGAAGGCACCTGAGAAGCGCTTCACTCGCACCTGCACTTGGAGATCCTCGACCAGCTCCTTCCCCTGCTGCTCTTGCCCCTCCTGCCTTTACCCCTCCATCTCAGCCTCGCTCTTCCCTATTCTCCGCCTCTTCCTCTTCCTCAGCCTCGCTCTTCTTTCTTCCTCTTCCTCCTCTCTCTTCCTCTCTATTCCTCTACACCCAACATGGGCTCCGTGGCCAACACACTCCACGCCCTGGTGGAAGGATGCCACCGTCTACCAAATCT